AATATTTACATACTATGTTACAACATGTAAAAGTTACAACATGAATAGAAAAATAGGAATGTAAAAACGTTTACAAACGTTGTATTATGCAGCAATAACTAAAAAGCTGAAAATTTGTCCAATTTCTTTTAGGACGCTTTTTTAACATTAGAAATAACATGTAAACATTATCCATGTTGTTTATAAAGAAATATTATGAAACAAAAATGTGATTTTTAATGTGAATAAAATTGTTATTACTTAATTTATTACAATCTTTACAGAGTTTCCTTAACACCCGCGCTATACACTAGTTTTTTATACCAAGTTGAACAAATGCGTAACTAAGCCTAACTTTATATACACGAACGTCATGCTCACCAAATAGAGATGTAAGTATATAAGTCTGACGTGACGTACCTAAACATCATGTTCAACAATTAGAGAGGGGGGTGTATTCATGTCTGACTTGACGAACATAAACTACAGGTGAGATTCAGTACATATATGTAACTTGGCTTGTACCATACTAGCGGAAACGAATTATCTAGAAAAGAATCCTACAGAGAACACTGGGTGACTCGATGGTATTGAATGTATGGTTCAGTTTTACCTTCAACACTCGTCTTATGGTAGAGTCGGTGATATTTTCTATAAGGAAAACACATATAATGTAATTAGCACACAGCCTAAAAACCTCGTGTATCGGTTATAATTTAAACGTGATGTTAGCTTCATAGTATAGAGGTGGTTAAGTTTAGCTATATAGCTTACGAATATTTATAACAAGTCAAGCTGTAATGATTTAATCATCGCAAGTTTTATTATGAGCAGTTTATTTGCTCTCTTTGCAAACATTTGAAGTGCTATTTTGTAACGTCAAGTACAAAAGAGGCTTCACGTTTCTTACAGTTACACATTTAGATTCTATAAACGTTTTTGGTTCATGAATGTTTAGTCTGGTGAGACTGCACACAGTTTCCTGCGTACAGGTGCTCTTGTAAGACATTATAAACGTGTGTTTGGTGTGATAAAGCTGGTCAATCTACGGTGTAAGTTTGGTCTAATAAAGCTAGACAGTCTACTGTGTAAGTTTGGTCTAATAAAGCTAGACAGTCTACTGTGTAAGTTTGGTCTAATAAAGCTAGACAGTCTACTCTGTAAGTTTGGTCTAATAAAACTAGACAGTCTACTGAGCATGTTTAGTCTAATAAAGCTAGACAGTCTACTGTGTAAGTTTGGTCTAATAAAGCTGGTCAGCCTACTGTGTAAGTTTGGTCTAATAAACCTAGTCAGTCTTCGGTGTAAGTTCGGACTAATAAAGCTGCACAGTCTATTATGTAAATTTGGTCTAATAAGTCTGGTCAGTCTTTGGTGTAAGTTTGGACTGATAAATCTGGTCAGTCTTTGGTGTAAATTTGGACTGATAAATCTGGTCAGTCTTCAGTGTAAGTTTAGTCTAATAAAGCCGGTCAGTTTTCGGTGTAATTTTGTCTAATAAATCTGGTCAGTCTTCGGTGTAAGTTTGGTCTAATAAAGCTGGTCAGTCTTCATTGTAAGTTTGGACTAATAAAGCTGTACAGTTTACTATGTAAATTTGGTCTAATAAAGCTGGTCAGTCTTCAGTGTAAATTTGGTCTAATAAAGCTGCACAGTCTACTATGTAAATTTGGTCTAATAAATCTGGTCAGTCTACGTTGTAAGTTTAATCTTCTTGAGCTGTCTTGCTTACTGTGTAAAATTTGTTTGGAGAAAACTGTTTCATGTCAACATATATGCGGATAAAGAAAGCTTTTTGTTGTTAGATCTTAATAAGACAAACGTGATACATAGGATTAGGGTTTAGTTATTGATTTTAATGAACTTGGAATCTAAAGGTAACTAACGGATGCTGGTTTTCATGTGGTTGAAAACAGGAATTATATAGCAGCTTCTCTATTTTAAACTCCTGCTACAAAAGCTGTGGAAAAACTTGTCATCAAATAGTGATCAGAGAGAGCATGGGCAGCTGATGTTCCAGTTTCTGTTAGCGGTTTGAGGAATAAAGAGATGTTTTCTACAAATTAGGAGCTCCAGTGGATCGAGTAACATGATGAGTTAATGGTGAAAGTGATACTTTGTTAAAATACAAGATAATCCTCCTATCACGATTGGTTCAATTACAGCCGGGCTATTTCCTCTATGTTTTCATAAGCGCTTCAAACCGAATTGTGTAACTAATCCCATACTGCCCTAGGCGGATGGTGGTCTTTGATATTATACGTTAATCTTCTGATATATTCCTGATCATTTTATGTGTTAGATCTGTCTCTCACGTTCCTTCTAGTATTATACAACTGTACATCTTCCTTTCATATTAACATATCATTTGCCACGTCAGCAAAGACTTGCATGTCACTTATGAGCAAGTCACAATAATCTTGTCTGCTTTCTTTTTTGGTCACCTGTAGGTTTGAACACTAGGCCTAACCAAAGGTTTGAATTTTTAAAAATAAGGCGAAGGTGACAAGAATATCAGATTGCTCCACATTTAGTTGATAAGCATCTCCAGACTGTTCCGGTGTAGAAGAATACCATCTTTAGACTGCTTCAGTTCTAGCAGACAAGCATCTTTAGTCTGCTTCAGTTCTAGCAGACAAGCATCTTTAGTCTGCTTCAGTTCTAGCAGACAAGCATCTTTAAACTGCCTTAGTTCAAGTAGACAAGCATCTTTAGACTGCTTCAGTTCTAGCAGACAAGCATC